ATTACTGGCTGGCTCGCCACTTCGAAGGCTAAACACCCGATCCCTTGTGATGACTAGCATCAAACATCTCTGCCTTGGCCCACAGCCATTTGATCGGTCTGTTACGCCGATTTAAAAGGCACATTCAGTGCCAAGTCAGTGTGTTAAGACTTACTTCATTCCACTGGAAGCCATTTAGCCATACCGCCTACTGCTCAAGCTCTCCTGTGCGCAAACACGTGCGCAGCCTTGAATGCGTGCGCCTCTTGTCGGCACTCTCTCGCTCTTTTGGATTTGGTCATTGCGATGTACTGCTGCGTTGTTTAATCTTGTTTGCCGCAGCTACGGCTGAGACGAGTGAAGGAATCCAGTGGCAGGAGGTGTTTTCCTGATCATACTTTCTGGTCGCAAGACACAGTGTTGGAAATACAAGGCTAAGATTAATCTTTTTTTTTTTTTCAGTGTCCCTATATGAAAGTTTTGAAATACTGTTTCTGTGCCGGGGTCCCGCAAAGCAAAATAATATTGTTTTATACGAATTTCTATAGCGGTCGCTGAACATCCCATCGCTGAAATTGCGTTGTTCTTCCTATTTGTTTTTTTTTTGTTTTTTTTTTTTAATCAGCATTGCCTCTGCAGGTTGAAGCCAAAGTATTACACTCCCATTTCGCGTCACTTGTCATCAGAATCCGCTGAGCAGCGTCAGCATCTGGTGTGACATGCACAGCACTTGTTGGACAGCGACGTTGCTTTCAACACAACAGGGCGGGAGGCTTGCAGATTTCCCTAATAGACAAATGCTGCCCCACCACGGTTACAGCTGTCATATTACCTCCGATGATGGAATATTGGCGGTACGACTTTGTCCTGCGACAGTCAGTTTCAACCACCCGGAAAAGACAGGCAGTTTAGAAAGTGCCTCTTGACTTATCTGAGGGTCATGGTTGCTTCCTCCTCAGTGAGGTCACCACCGTCTGTCGCGGTTTTGACTCTCTCCACGTTTGACGATTGGCGCACACTTCAGGAACAGGAACAATGTTAGACGAAGGACGGGGGAGATGTGCATTATTATCAGAGTAATATTTTTAAAAGCTACTTTCATCCATCTTGGAATCGTCATCCCTGAGAGCGATCATTCCTTTTGAGATGAACATTTTCTGAATCAGCTAATGCCATTGTTAGTTGCCATGGAGACTGACTGAGTTAGGGTGTTGCTATGGAAACTGAGAGGCTGCTCATCACCACGCACAGCAGGCTTCACCGCTCCCTCGAGCAAACCGCACAAATACACAAGACATCTGCACGCAATAAATATGAGCAAATAACCTGGTAAAATTGGTGTTTTGAATTGGATATTTGTGGTGTTGTTTTGTTTTTTTAAGCAATAATAAACGAAACGATGCAATACCCTTTATAGTGAAACCTGCATTGGCTTGAGAGTGGTGGGGTGGTGCAATGATTCATCGGTCAACCTTAATGGATGTCTAGCCTCGTCTACCCCGGGGAATAGGAATGCATTCCCCTCCACCCCCCATTCTAATGTAAATAACATAAAATGAGACAAACAAGTTGGCCGGTGCCATTCATCGGAACTCACTTGCAGAGTTCACACACAGTTAACTCCTTCCATGCTTATTCTATATTGGCAGACATCATGAATTTGTCATAAAATCTTTGTCTCACCACGCCTTGTGTAACTGCTGACACTATGGCAGGCCTGAGAAAGTACTTTTAGTTGACTAAAGTGGTCCCTTGATCCAATTGATTTGTTTATTGATATGTCGTTTTTTTTACTGCAGGGAATGTGACAGACAACTACAAATAGTTTTGATGTACCAGGTAATTCAGATTTGGGATTTGGAGAAACCCCAACAAATTTAAAAAAAAAAAAGAAAAAAGGATCTGTTCCCTGCCAAATTCAACTGAACCGGGACTACATCTGTGAAGGGGAAACACTGATTCAAGGAAAAGGCTTCACCGCAAAACCTTCTCTTGAACCACAATAGGGCTACGACTTCATTAATTGCGGCGACATTGCGATGGACAATTTGAATCAGTAAAACACCATTAATCATTCATGAAACCGACGTTTGGCCGAAACTCAATTGTCCAGAAGCCGTGTAATAGTAATCGGGAGCAGCGGGACCGGATTCAGTAGTCCCTCAGGAAATAGCTCATGTTTTACCGCGGCGTGAAAAAAAATACACACGAAAGGTTGATGGTCCGCTGATGCATGATACGCACGTAACAATTTGGAGCCGATTCTCAAGGGAGCACGAGCGGTTGTTGGTTTGGTGTTCGTTTTTGCTCAATCTGACTCCGCTCTTGAAAAATCACCCAGAAATTTGACCAATAGATTCAGGAATGATTCCCAAATAAAAGCTGTCGTTTTTGTCCCTGGGATTCCAATACACGCAATCAGTCAATACAATTTTCCGTGAGTCCCGTATGGCATCGCCCGGGTGCGCGCGTGTATGTGCCACACAAGCTGGACACTTTGGATTACATTCGAGTGTTTGCTGATGGGTGATTTCGGCTCTGCGACAGACAGTCTGTATTCATGGATCAGTGCGGTGTATTATCATAGTACGAATGCTCTCAGACAGGACATGACAAGGACAACAACGATTCACTTGTCGTTTCCGTTAAGATGAGCTGACATTTCGATTACCATACCTCGTAATGGGATAGCACCCGATCCTAAGAACGTGTGTGTGTGCGTGTGCGTGTGTGTGTGTGTGTGTGTGTGTGTGTGTGTGCGTGTGTGCGCGCCTTTTGGCGTTTCATGTAAATAGGATGTCACATCACGAACTGCGAAGAAACAAGGGGGGCGGGGGAGCAAAACAATAACAAAAAAAGCTATTGATTTCAATTGTGTCGCAATATTTGTCTATATAAAGTGCTATTGATTTTATTTAAAAAAAGAAAAAAATAGATATTTATTTATATTTATTTCAGCAACATTGAGATAATATTTAGGTCGCATACCATTTCATCTCGAATGTCATGACATCATTGCCGTACTGTCAAGTACATGACTCGGCATTGTATTTGATCCTTTGACAGGTAAACACAATTAATATTTGAGGACATATAAGGTACTTTAATTGCGAAAAGTAAGTCACGCCTCACAATGACGTTTTTTTTTTTCTTCAAGCAGACAAAAGTGCAACGCATCAGCATTCACCGGCAGTCAAGTTCAGCTTGTCCTCCAAAGGAGACCAGTCAACTGCAAGTCTTGTACAGAACCTTTCCCAAATCTGATGCCTGTTTATTGAACTGTTAAAAGACCGGATTTTTTTTCCCCTCAGTTTGCATTTCATGCTGTTAAGGGAAAAAAAATGCTCTGAGGTCAGCTTGTTCCAGATGGATTTGTTTGGATGTAGAAAGTGGTCTGAGCTTCGATTTTGTGTGTGTGTGTGTGTGTGTGTGTGTGTGTGTGTGTGTGTGTGTGTGTGTGTGTGTGTGTGTGGGGGGGGGGGGTTCATATTCATCACAGTGGAGGAATTTTTTTGACCACTCTTCCTTGTTAAATTGTCGTCATGATTTTTGGAACATGAACGCATGAACTACCAAGTCATATTACATTTTGCATTTACTTGGATTGTCCTTGTGAGACGTAAAAAGTGGCATGATGATCCAAAACATTTTGAGTTGATGAATACGCTAAAGAAGAAGAAAAAAAAAAATCAGGAAGGGGGCAAATATTTCACGATCTGTGTTGTTCTGTACTGTGTGGAAATATTGCACCAAGATTAGTTTACATTTTTATTTTATTGATGATTATTATTATTTTTTTTAATCAGAATGACGTTACTTCATCCAGCCATCCATCAGTCCATTTTCTGAACTGCTTTATCGTCACGAGGGTCGCGGGGGGTGCTGGAGCCTATCCCAGCCGTCTTCGGGCAATAGCCGGGGGCACCCTGAACCGGTTGCCAGCCAATCGCAGGGCACGCAGAGATGAACAACCATCCGCGTTCACACTCACATGTCGGGACAATTTGGGGTGTTCAATCAGCCTGCCATGCATGTTTTTGGAATGTGGGAGGAAACCAGAGTACCCGGAGAAAACCCACGCAGGCACGGGGAGAACATGCAAAATCCACACGGGGAGGCCGGAACCGGGATTGAAAATGACATCACAGTCCATTGATTGAACCCACGACCTCTGCACTGTGAGGTCGATGCGCTAACCACTCGTCCATCGGGCCGCCCTACGTTACTTCATATTGGCAGAAATGAGCAGAGAATTACCTCAAAAATAAAAATCCGCACCGGCACTTTAACTGTCGTAACGATTTAATTTGATTTCGAAAAATTCAATTATTTATTTTGGAATTGTTATTTTATAATACCATAAAACAGTTATATTGTTTTACTTCAAATTATCACTCGATCAGATCACTGATCTTAATACGGCACTCAAGCGATTTGTTATTTCGCTATATTGTGAGTGACATCACTTGGGATGCAGCTCAGTCACACAATCTAACATGAAAATGTCTACTTCCTAATATTTGTCAGGACACGTGCCGTTATTACCGTCTCTGCCGTGCTATCAATAATGTGTTCCGGCAGAACCGTACCTCACCAGACCGCATGGCCGCTTCTGTTCTGCGCTTAACAAGCATTTTCAAGTTTGCCCGTGTGTGCGCGCGCGCTTGTGACAAAGACAGCGGCAGGAAAGTGCGTCTGCATTTGACTCGTCACACTAACCAGCACGGACGGCACACGGCCAATCACAAAGCCACCATTTTTGCAGCCTCAACGCGCTCTCTTTAGCGCGACCATTGACTGATTACGACTTTCTCCCCTCAGCTTCCACCTCATCCTCTCTCCATCTGTCCCGCAGATTTGCAGGTGCTCGGTTGGTGTGAGTTTGTGCGCGTGTATGCGTGCGCGTGTATTAAGAGACGCCACCTGCCACCGCGCTCCCAAAGGACTAAGAGGCAAATCTGTCTCTCTGCCTTTCTACCCCCACGACTGCTCTTACCCTTTATCCACTGTCACTTTTCCAGGACTCGGATGCAAGCTTTCCCCTGAGTCACGGACCGTATCACAGTTAGCCAGGTGAGTCTCTCCCTCCGTTTCTTTTTTCGTCATCCCAGGCTTACACTCATTGTTCCCCTCTGTATCAGTATGCGCTGCTGTAAAGTTGCTGCGTCACCCCGTTGCTAAAAAGGCACCGTTAGCGTCACTATACCATCAGTCGCCACAGAAGTACTTACCTTTCTTTTTATATGGCGGACCACAGCGCTGTTGTGTTATCGTGGACATTTACGACCCCCGTGGCCATGTCTTGTGGTGTCATATTTCACATTGGGTGTGAATGTTTGGTTGTCTGTATTGTATGTGTCCTGTGACCGACTGGCAACCAGTCAAGGGTTGCATTTCGGACGCCGTAAGATGCAATATCGGTCTCCGGTTTGATTAATCACATCACGCGTGCTCATAGAGTTTGAATACCATTATGTCATTATCATTAGAAGTACTTTTCAGGAATCCTTCTTACAAAGTAGACGCGTTCCCTGGCTACTTTTTGAAGAACACATTTTTTAAGGCCTGTTTGATGGACACTAGTGAATCAGGCGTTAATGTTGTAGCAATATGCCGAATGAGCGGCTTCGCAGCTTGATTCAGCCGTTTTCTTCAAGTTTCAGACCAACTTTTTCCATCAAACCCCAGAAAAACAAACTTTAAATAGTCTGCCTGGCGACAAAGTGTGAGTGATGAAGCATCCGTTACAGTGGTTTGGTGTTGCGTCTGCACATCATTTCTAAAACTGCTTCACACAGCTCTTCATTTCAATGAACAATCAAAGGCGCAATCTGATGGCGTGCGGGCAGACGCGAAGGGCACTGGAAGTTTTGAGTATCGGATATTTTTTTTTTTTTTAATGAGCAAAACTAGTTGCTTACACACATGAAATGAAACTGTACCTCGTGGCTCACACCATGCAAAATTTCTGGCGGAGAGCAGGTTAATGAGAAGGGAGATTAGGCTAATAGCGTAAAAATATCTCCTTGTCCGAAAGAAAAATTGACTGTTTTTTTTTTTTTTCAGTTTTTGAAAGGTTTTATTCACAGATTGTTTGCCTTAATGTAAATTCCATTCATATATAGTGTTTTCCAATATTGTGATATATATATTTACTTCATGAATCAATGAGGTACCAGTGCTGTTAGTTCCTCCCTACATGTGTCCAAGTCAACCACATTTTTGTTTTACTATTGAGTTAACTCATTAAGATTAACTTTCCCCCAAAAGGTTTTGTTTTGTACAAGTGCGGTTTTATAAAACATATTGCTTCATGAATCAATCATGTACATGTCCTGTTCATTCCCCCCTCGAAGCATAAACAAAACACTCACACACTCACGCACAGAAACACAAACACACACAGACACACACACACACGGACACACACAAGCACCACGTACAAGAAAATGCGGTGTACACTCTGCTGATCGCATTAAAACTGACAGGTGGCTGCTGGATGCGTAGTCCCAGGAGATCAACAAAGTGCTTTGATTGTGTGCATAGTAGTGTGAGTGTGTGGGTGTGTGTGTTGGCAAACAAGAAAATGATGACAGCGAAGATGCTCGATAATTAAAAAAAAAAGTACTTTGTTGCAGAATTTTGAGACACTTGGAAGTCATGAAGCTCATGCCTTGTATACTGGGAATATTTTGACCCCCTTTGGCTATATTACCGTATTTTACACACTATAAGGCGCTTCGGAGTATAAGGAGCACCTTCTATGAATGGCCTATTTTAAAACTGTTTTCATATACAGGGTGCAGCGTATTATAAGGCGCATAGAATAGAAGCTACAATAGCGGCTGTGGTTGCGTTATGCATCCGCTAGATGGATCTACGTTAAAGGCAATATAATACAACACAGCTTTATTTATATAGAGCAGTCACAACTGCTGCAGCTGTCACCAAAGCGCTTTACAGAACATTTAAAATACTACGTCCAAGAAATCAGAATATTGATCCAAATATAAGGCGCATCGGATTGTAAAATCGCCTTTTGAGAAAATTGAATGCTTTTAGGTGTGCCTTATGGTCCGGAAAATACGGTATTCTAAGGCTCAAAATTAACGACTTTGCATTCCAAATTGTAATTCATTCATCGTAGCATCCATTTTGTCGGACTCTTTCTTTGATCGAACCAGTTTTTCTGCTAATGTTCAGCATGGCCAGACCAGGGCAATGATGAAATGCAAGATTAAAATTACCGCACAAAAATTCAAGCTATGTTTGAAAGATTTGTTGATTTGCACATTGTCTGACTGTTTGCATTGCATGTTTTTACCTTACAGCATATTAAATGATTCAAGCGTTGCATTCAGACATTTAGCACAGGGCAGTCTGACAGAAAACAAGGCAGGTCAATACAGGCCAGTGCTGTGTATTTGTTGTCGAGAGCCGTTTGAAACTTCCAAACATGACAAAATTAAAATTACATAACATTTACTTTAAGGTCAAGGTACTGCTTTGTCAGTAAATGCACATTTGTATGTAGGCGGCTGAAGTATCCCGCAGTGTCCTTGGAAAGTGTCTGAATTGAAATTAATTACATTTAAAGCACTTCAAATAGATTTCTGGATGAATGCGGCGAAATTACTTGGCAGTGTTACTGTGAGATTACCGCTTCTCATCGGCGTGGCTGCAGCGTCCTTTTCTTGCCTCTCTCCGACAGAACTCCTCCGTTCTCTTTTGTTAAGGACAAAAGTCATACATTGTCTTTCGGTAATAGGAAACAGTTGTGGTGCTGCTGAGTCATAGCTTGGTTGGATTTGCAATTTTCATGCTGCACACTAATTCAACTTTATCTGATTGTATTATGATTATTTTTTTTTTAATGTGAAATTTCACCAATTGCGGCTGTGTCGGAAAGTTTCGTCAAGGATCATGGTGTACCCACCGTATTTTCCGCACTATAAGGCGCACCTAAAAGCATTCAATTTTCTCAAAAGACGACAGTGGGCCTTATAATCTGATGCGCCTTATATATGGATTAATATTCGGATTTCTTGGAGGTAGAATTTTAAATGTTCTGTAAAGTGCTTGGTTCCAGCTGCAGCGGTTGTGAAAGCTCGCTATAAATAAAGCTGTATTGTATTGTATTTTCTTTAGCGTAGCTCCATTTAGTGGATGCATAACACAACCGCAGCCACTATTGAAGCTTCTATTCTATGCGCCTTATAATGCGATGCACCTTATATATGAAAACAGTTTTCAAATAGGCCATTCATTGAAGGTGCGCATTATATTCCGAAGCGTCTTATAGTGCGGAAAATACGATCAATTGAATTTCCATTTTCTCAGCAGTCACCAAGGCTCTTCCGTAGGCCTCCTCCACAAGCAGCTGGAGTCGTTATTCCATATTGCAAGAGAAACTTAACAATTTCCAAATTCTGCTCTTTATAGCCGACACCTCCGTCGCATAGTTAAATGGCACACTTGCCAGTAAAGGGAGCTGCTTGGTACTAGAATGAGAACCTGTCAAAAAACAAAACAAAACAAAACAAAACAGAGAATTCTCTTTGCTTATTTTGGGCATGTACATTACCCCAAGGAACAAAACCTGCTTGATGCTACTTAAAAAAAAAAAAGAAAATAGCTGTTTGAAAATCTTAAAGACAGCACAGACAGACTGATGGAAGACGGTATGAGAACTCGAGCCTCAAGCACTTCACACCTTCTGTAGAGGCGCTGTTAAGTGGATTGCGCGGCCCCGTCAGAGAGAGCGTTTCAAGCGAGTGAAGTCTTAATACTGAATTAACCTGGTGTTTTCCTGACTTTCGGTGTGTATTTATGGTACAGGCGTGACAGTGGCATCAGTCCTCTTAGGAGGACGGGCTGACTTCAACGTTGCAAATGCAGCATCTGCACTTTATAATATATCCGTGCAGTAATGTGTTTGGCGTCAATGGGCAGTATAGAATTTCGGGTTTATTAATGGGGGTTATCTGAAAGATAACCTCCAGGCTGCAAGACTTGTCGAGTAGCCACGAAACAAAAATGTACTCAAATAGCAAACAATTGATTACATTTTTTTCGTTCTGTTCCGTTTCATCGAGTTGTGGTATCAGCAGTGACGAGACTACAATTCAAAATGGTTGAGCAAAAACATCAGCTTGGAGCATTAGAAAATGAAGATAGTTTTTTTTGTTTGTTTTTTTTTTTTTTTTAAATTCCAAAACGTTCCTGCTTACATTTGACATGAGATTACAGAATATAAATTATTTCGCTCATCACAAAAGTTCTCCAGGTGAATAGCAGAATTAATTTTATTCATTTTGAAGTGTAGGGACAATTAAAAAATATATATAATTTTTTTTTTCCTTTTTTCTTTTCTGCAATCTCTAGGTTCGTCGAGAGAATCACAATTCCGGCGACAGTCTTCAAAAGAACGAGGGAATCCTTTTTTTAGACGTGGCTTTGATTGATTGGCAAGTCCCACACAGGTGACCCAGGTAAATAAACTTCTCTTTTTTTGTAATTTATTATAATGCTGCTGCTCCCCTGATAAGAGTCCAATTTGATACATTTATTCATCACTAATCAAAAAGTAAAGCAACCCCCCCCCCCAAACAACAAAAAAAATCACATTCAGTTCCGTAATTGCACCACTGGCTGACCAGCTTCGACTAGTTTCCTGTAATAATTACAGAAATCTCTCTATCCTATATTTCAACACTTCACAGACGTGCTGTGTACCTGTCAAATAGGTTAAAAAAAAAAGAGAGCGAAAGGGAGAGAGAGTGGATGTCTGTTACCTCCATAAAAGCTGTGGCCGTGTGGGTGGACGTACATGTGAGTGCAGGCTGCTAGAAGCTGAGTGGGAAGTGGGTTATTGAGTGGGAAGAGAAGAGCTGCTTTAGTGAGACGATCAACACCAAGGTCCGCTGAAAGCCAGTCACGCTTTTGTGGGCTCTCATTGTTTCCTGCACAAATTTTCCAGGTAGCGAGATTAGTGAAGGGGGTTGGATAAGAGCCTTTTTAGTTGTTTTTTTTTTTTCTGGCATCTATTTAATTTGTGTTAAGGCCCAGTGACTGGGCGTGCTCATTTATTTTATTGTAAATTACTAAACTACTCAGCTACTAGTAAGTCTAGAAACAGAGTCACAGATACGCAATCGGTCCCAAGAAACCGGGCGAGTTCTTGGGAGTTTTTTCCATAGAATCAGGGAAAGAATCCGTTCTATCTGGTGAATCCTGAAAATTCAGGAGTAATTGACTTTGGATGCCGCTAGATGGTAGCAAAGCACTACTTTTGTTGAAATAAAGCAGCTCAAATCACTTCATCGTAGATCCTGCCCCCCCCCCCCAAGATGTAATAAGATGGTCGCAAAGCACTACTATTGTCTAAATAGAGCTCCTCAACTGATCTCACTGTAGTTCCTTGACTCCAAGGTGCTGCGAGATCACAACCAAGCACTACTTTTGGCTAAACGGAGGTCCATAACTCACTTTAACCAGTGTGACTGTCAAAACTGCACACAAAAGGATGCAAAGCAGAAATATTACATGATTCCCAACCGGAGAATTCTTACTGCGAGACTGATGTGCTGACTCCATGTACCGCTGCGTTGCCCTGCTAAGATTGATAGCACTCTAATGCGTACACTGTTACACTGTCAATATAAAGCAGATTTCTAGCTCAGAAACCAAGGTGAAGCCTTTCTAGGCCAGGACACCCGCCAGGGCGCTTAGGCTCCCTTTAGCTGCCTTGACATCGTTGCCTTTGCTGCAGTCAAAAATTCACGGTCGCTGATTTTGTCGGGCTTCATGTAAACTTTGTCGTATTTGAGCAGATAATGCGAGGTCGAAATATTATTATTATGATTTGAAAATGAGCCATGTGCCTCCTGAGCTGCTTTGCAGCTCTCCAGCTCCTGCAGTGAGGCGGCCCTGCGAGGAGAGCCCCGCAATGCAGCATCTGTGTGACGTACACGCACACGCACACACTCGCACACCGAGATGCTGGCATGTGAATGTGTTCAGAACGTAGGAGGCGAGATGGGAAAAAAAGGCCAAGAAAGCGGAGAGGAGGGGAAAGATGAAAGCTGATGGAAGCTGGGGGAGGAGTGTGTAGGTGGATGGACAATACCAGGAGGAAGGTAAAGAGGTAGGAAGAAATAACAGGTGGGAGGAAGACTCACAGGTGGGGGAAAAAAACCCAACAGAAATTAAACTTATGACACATATCAGAGAAATTGGCCTTGTTGGATTGATAATACATTCATGTTCATGTAAAAACGTACCCTGTAGCAATTTGGAGCAAGCGTGTATGCGCACACGTGCAAAGCGATAGTGTCAACATGGTCTTCACTCGATCGACTAGGCCGTTCATTCCTTATGGATCGTGTCTTCCCGGAGAATGTGATCGAATGACTCCCTTCCAGCCCGTGTCAATTATTGTTAAGGTGCCCTTCAGCAAGGCGGTCAACCTTCCGCGCTGAACGTCTCCAGTTGGAGCCTGAACGTTAGCGGCATCTGTGATGCCAGCCAGCAATTTGAAGTCATTTACCGTAATGCTGCTTCACCTTGGGAAAAAAAAAGCCATCCGCTTAATCAGTAACTCTATTTAACATTCACTAAATTTGACAATGTGAAAAATGATGCGTGGCGAGATAGATATCGACGTAATGGCATTTTAATTTGAGTATATTCACGGTATCGTTAGCATTTGGAAAATGAGACGGTGATCTTGTACAGATTTTGTGAATGTCGTCATGGTTTGGGGGATTTGGTGGATTTCAAAATTTAATGGGAAGGCCGTTAGCAAAACATCTAAACACACCCAAAATATGAAAAATCTAGATCTAAGAATGTTTTTTTGTACGTTTAACTTTTGTAAATAGCTAATTTGACAACACTAACTATTAAGCACAATAGCTAGTTATAATAAACCTGAATTGCGAGCTCAGTCTAAAAATACCATAAACGGTTATTTGTGACTGCAAAAATGCATCGTCAGTCTGCCATCCTAGAGCAGGTGAAAAGAGCAGATCAGTCAGCCTTCTGTGCATGTGTAACACTTCTGACGCGATGCACACTGCAACATGTTGAACATTTTGTCGCAGGAGATGGTTGACTTAAAAAAATTGGTGGAGCTGCAATTGCTCAAAAAAAAAAAATCATTTTCCTTACTAACCAGCTGTAAAGTACTGTTTTGTAGCTTGGTTTAACATCATTACAGACAGATGGGAATGTTGTCAAGTTAAAATGGAGATTGTTGTGCCTGAAACACCTTTCATCCTCTCTGCCAGACATTCAGACGAATTGCTCAATATCACGTTGACAAGATTCCAGCTCCTTTTTTCATATATCGATTCCTTGGCATTTTGCAACGAGTTCTCTCGCTCTATTTTGTCACTGCTTACTCAACTCTGTTCACCCCCCCCCCCCAGAGACAGACTTGAGAGAATCCCTGTGGCGAAGTGCCACATGCCTTTTGCCAATCGCAGCAGAGTCAGTGTTCACTTTAAATGAGTGCCCCCCCAATGGGTTTGTGAGAAAGCCTCCAGTTTCCCTTCAGAACCACGTTTGCCTATGCCATACTATACACCAAAATACTCCAGCAAATGTGAACCTTTGATTTCAAATGACCTGCCAACGTGCACCTTTTGGCTGAGCGTCTAATAAGAAACTGCCGCATCTGGCGATTGCCGTTTCATGCAACCGCCCGTTTTCAAAATGTCCACAGGTGGTTGTCTTTGTAGCCGGTCCACAGGACGGTCAAGTTCGATGTGGAGGTCAGCCACCAAACACAAAGTGACCTTCATCATCAGACGGGCAGGAGCAAGACAGGATGACAACCTAATTTTAATACTTTACGACTTTTAATAAATAGGAGTGCTGTTCGGATGAGGCCCCCGAGCGGGGTCACGGTGGCGGAAGACGAGCCGTGACAGTGAAGGAATCTTCAAATGAGACAGACCGTTCCGAATGGAAAAGTCTGTGCAGCGTGCGGAGTACAAAGTCTCTATTGGGGCTGTCATTCTTATATCCGTCGAGCTGAGTCATGCAAATCCGGATGATTATTCATTTTGGCTTAGAGCTTAAACACTCTACATTAAATATTCAACACAGCCGTTCTCTGGCAGGTAGACAGATCCATCGGTATTGTATTTGTCTGATTGCTTGCTGTTGAATGAGTTGGAGCTTTTTGTTACGTTCGCCTCCATTTACTTGTCGATTTCCCATGTCCGTGGGTACTTTCACACTAGCGTCGATTAATCTGTTTTAATCACATCATTTATTTCAGTTCATTTGGTCAGAAGCGAACACCACAATTGAAGTCTGCTGAGGAGCAAATCATCACTTGATAATAAACGGCCAAGTGGCTTTCATTTTCCAACATTTTATCGTGAAACTGCGCACAACGGTACACTATTGTCTTCTATAGAAACACGAGTGAGAATTTAGATACATTTCTCCCCATGAAGTTTAGTCTGCAGTACGAATTGATAGCAGAAGCACAGTCACGATTTTGCCAGCAAAAACAACACACTTGGGTAAGCCTGGTTGATTAAAAAGTGATTAATAGGAATGGCAACGGTGTCAGGCTCTCAGCATCAAAGTGTGCAGAGTCATTCAGCTCTATTAACTAGAGCGCGGCTGGCGCCGTACAATACAGATGTCCTTAATTGGCAAATGAACTTTATTTTAGGACAACATTGTATTGTTGTCGGCGAAAGCAAAAGTTTGTGATGTCAAGTAACGACATCCAAACACAGTCTGGAAAACGAGTCAAGTCACTTGCTATGCAGCGATAAGCCGTCGAGAACAACTTAAAAAAAAACATATCCAGGCATTGATGTTCATATATTATTTGGCAACAAATGTTTCTTTTGAAGTTGATCTTCTTACCGCTTTGGCAGCATGTTACCGTCAAGTACCGCATGAACAATTTTCGCTACGGTTAACTTGACTCCACCTTCCTGATAGTGTACATGTAAAGAAGTGGGCAAGTGGAGCATTTCTCTAAACTGATGTACTTGATTTACTCTCTGACCCATTTTAGCCCAAGTATGGTTACATTGAGAGGAAGGCTGTAAGCTCTTGTCTACCTTTACTGTCCTTTAGCTGACATTGCTAACTTAGCACTTAATAACATGCTGACTTGTGACCATGCCTGCGTCTCCTCCCTCTCCACAGAAGGCGAGACATCCCTCAACCCCCCCTTCCCCTGTCCTGAGCTTGTACCAGCATGGCAGATGACCGACAGCCAGAAGACGGTTCCGCTCAGTGGGACCCTTCGAGGGGCCAGGAGCCCATTGGTACCCACGGGGCCAATGGTTTCTCGTCTTCCTCGTACAGGACATGCCAGACTGGTGGGGCTCACACGACCGCCGCCCCCTTCTCTGCAAGGGAGAACGGATTCAATGGGGAGTTAACCGGTGCTCACGCTGTAACTGCAGGTATGCAATCATCTCTGTTTTATACCTCATCGCACGACTTGTTGAAAAACGTCAAAGCAGTCGTTGCGTTTCCGTGTGTAATCTTTCTCGATGTCTTTAGTCAGCGAGCTGGATGCGTTGGCTTTCTTGCAGGCTTCCATGTTTGTTTGTGTGTAATGCGTGCGCGGTCTTTGGAGTTCGCGTGGGTTGGCAGCCTGAGTCCAACCCAAATCACATGCTGTTATTAAACGTGCTATAATTACACCGTTAAATCGGTTTCTCTACCCCTCAGCCCTCCAGCTCACCCTCACTGACACCCCGGAGACAGGAATGGTGATGCATCGGTGGTGTTACCATGACAACGGATACCCCACCAATTTGTTTTTACCGGGGCTTTTGTTCTTTTTTTTTTTTTTTTTTTTTTTTTTTTTTTTTTTTTTGCCGTCAGCTCACACCGGAGCTGTTAGCCGTATGATTTCAACTTAAAGATGAGATAAGAAGCAATTCCAGTGTCATGTCTGTGCTGGAATCAAATCATGATGGATATATTTTGGGCTGTGGTTTCAGTAACTCTTCCTCTTCGCTTTCTTTTTAGTGGAATATGTACCAGTATTTAAGCATGATATTTTATATCGCAGTCATGCTGTTATTACACAGAAATGATAGAAGGGAAAGAAACGAACAGATATGTGGTTTATTTTTTTTAAAATGTGTCTTGGCGCTCGCATTGGAGACTGCTTATCAAACGACACTTCTTCCTCTGAATCAGCGAAGGTGTCTGTTAAATTACACACCACAATGGACTCCAACTACATGACTCTTTGGGGAAAACACTCCCTCACACATTTCATTTTGTTTCCGTTGCTTCAAGTCAGACACAGCTGAACGACATAACATTGTCTTATTTTTATGACCACTCGGTCGTGAAAATTCCACGCAATCAACAAGATTCCCACAAACCAATCAATAGACGAATCCATTTTTATTGCCATCCCTTGCACAGCGTACGAGGTGACTCCAACATGCTGTGGATAACTGCTGAGAATCGCTGACACTCGATAATCCTCCGGAGCTTCTGAAAATCAGCTCCTCAGATACAAGAAGAACCTCTGAAGCACTAAATTGCCTCCTTGACATTATTGTTAAGCCTGGAGCTCACTATGCTGTCTTTTTTTTTTTTTTTGGCTCACAGAGTTCAAGCGCAACATGCTACAAACTACTTTAGTGCAAAACGAAATATGAATCTTAATATATATATATATATATTATTATAATATGCTGACCTGGTTTTGCATCCAGTGGCATTTTCTGTGCCTTCCCATTGTGTGTTTGTGAGAGCCTGTGTGCATGTGCGGCACTCCTGTGTGTTTGTGTTGACGCAGGGCTTCTCGTCTCTGCCTCGGGATGAACCATTTCTCATCTTTTACCACAGGTAATAGAGTATATTCCATCTAGTCTGGCTCAAGGGCTAACATATTAGTCCTTCGTTCCAGAAATTATATGACTTTTTTTTTTTTTTTGTATTTGTATCTTGTGTATAACGGCCTGTAGGTCATTTTTTTTATTTGACATGTTTGTGTTGGATAAACGCTGACCGAGGCGAGTCGAGCAAGTTTTCATCACTGCCAGCATGCTTTGTGAAAGTGACAAGGTCTTTTTTTTTTTTTTTTTTCGACCATCCTTGTGGCAATCTGTGCTCGGATCTTTCTGTCACTCTGAAATCTGAAAATTCTGTAACAGTGACAAAGAGTTAATTACAAATATGAAGACATTGTCACCTGCGAAATTTGTAAGTCAAAATGTGTTTTTGGTTGCGTGTTTGCGGTCCTTCATTCGCATTTCGGCAGAGTAACGTATATTACTGGCCTTTGTTCATTGTTGCTCAAGTATTCCGGTATTAAAATAATTTTCATTGGCATGAATAGACTTCACTGTTTAAATTCTGAATAGGATAACTGCAGTACCTGGAAACATGCCAATAATAAAATCGAACCTCTAAAGTCAAACAGCCCATATTTTTCTGTCAATATTTGGGGAAAACTGTTCTGATATGATTTGGTAGTATCCTTTAGTAACCTGAGAGGAACTCACAAGCTTTTGCTCTTATTTCTGTGTTCAGAGCAAGTGTCCGCGAGAATTGTGCAGGAAGTGACTGCAGAGGCAGTGGCGGTACTGAAGGGGGAACAGGAGAGTCAAAGGCTGCCCTCAGGTTTGCCGCACACGCTCACAAACACCTGCACCGGCTGCAACGTTACCGTACAATTGAGTTCAACACCATTGAAATCAACGCAGACAGCACTGCTCTCAATATAATTCTTCATCTTCAATTGTAGTTGAAGACACCGCCAATTTACCTCCATCGCCACCTCCTTCACCTGCTGCAGAACAATTTGGTCCTCTTGAGCAAGGTAGGCCAAAAAAAGGACTAGTGTGCTCCAATGGATGTTTTTTTTTTTTTTTTAATCCTTCTACATCATCAGCAAATTGGAATTGCTGAGAGCTTAGGGATGACTCTGACCCAACAAACCATCCAGAGTTCATAACAAGCTAATTTTCGTTTATATCAGTCGCATGCTCCATCCTCCTTATTTTGAAGCAATGACTGACAGGTTTTGGCTCCTGAACATTTTTTGATTCAACTTGAAGAGCAAGAAAGGCCAAAGCGCCATGTTTAGGAGTAGTTTTATTTTAGTCATTGTTTTCTTCCATTTCCCCTTCTAACCTGCATACCTCACAGTCTCCCCTCATACTAATATAACAGCCTGGTACCGTATTTTCCGCACTATAAGGCGCTTTGGAGAATAAGGCGCACCTTCAATGAATGGCCTATTTTAAAACTGTTTTCATATATAGGGCGCACGGCATTATAAGGCGCATATTGCATTATGCATACACTAGATGGAGCTACGCTAAAGGGAATCCAGTCCAATCCAATACAGCTTTATTTCCACAGAGCCTTCACAACCACTACAGCTGTAACAAAGCGCTTTACAGACCATTTAAAATACCACATCCAAGAAATCCGAATATTGATCTATATATAAGGCACATCTGATTATACGGCACACTGTTATCTTTTGAGGAAAATTGAGTGCTTTTAGGTGCGCCTTATAGTGCGGAAAATACGGTCACTCTCTTGGTGACATGTCTCTTCATGGTGGGTTTTCTTTTTTTGTTTTTTGGGCAGCTGTCAGTGTCTTTGTGTGTGACTCTCGGGCTTTTAGGGCTCAGCTCTGTAGACATTATTTCTGTTGGAAACAGAATCTGCACATCAAATCTTGAGGCAGGTTACAAAATAGGATTAGGATTGAAGCTGGTGAGAAATGTTCAAATTCTATGAAAGCAGCTAGCTACCTTTGCGAGACTCAGGCTCTTCTAAATCTGTGACAAAAAAAATCTTCCCTTAAATGGTAGTGACTTCTATGGATAATGCAGTTGTGGATTTGTTTGATAGTAAGTGTGTTATGCTTGACCGTCAACCAGAAATAGTTAAACATCACAGAGAGGTTTGTGATTGTTTTGTTTTGTTTAGTTTTTTTTCCAAAGGGACCCTTAAAAAGTTAATAGCTTAGAATTGGTTTCACGGCAGAGGAATCCCATTTGACGTGTGGTAATCACTGACAAGAGAAATTGTGCTTTGGTTAGGTTGTTGTTTTAGCCATGTATTGTTGGCGTTTAATTGCAGTACCTGTTATGGTTGTTCTTTAACCCAGTAAGTTGAGTCACTTTCTTGGCCTGACAATCTTGGTCTCTAGGAAGTTGCTAGTTACAGTCACTTCATCAATGTCTGTGTGTGTCATGATGTTTTTGTAACCCCTTTCTGATTTCCTTGGAATTTTTATTGACCAATGTTCAATGGGCGATTTGCATATACAGTCGCGCTGTGATGTCGTATCTGGAAATTGCGACTGACCATTTTCTGGTTTGGCCACCTACGACAGCCATATAGGCCGGGCTTGAATAAACAGCCACGTAAGGAGTGTTTTTAAAAGATTGTTTTGCTTTGTTTTTTTTGTTTTTATTCCTAAACATCAAACAAAACTGTCAACGTCGGTGTGTTCCAATGTGCACATTTCCATTTAAATTTGCAACCCCAGCAATGTTGAACTAACTCAAGAGAATATATTTTGTTCTGATCTAGACCATGCTGTTGTAGACACAGCAGTGCATAAATAAATGCAATTAAAAATAGAAATAGACTCGTTAAAGAGCGAGAGATCCCAGAGCTGAAAATTAATCGTATATTTGGATTACAAAGTTTTTATGTGTCAACTCAATTAAGATGAGATGAGAGATAAATCTTCCCATAATGTTAAGCGGCCGTACATTAACAGTTTTTTTTCGTGTTTCTTCATGAATCCAAAGGACTTTATTTAACACTAACGCCAAACACAGATTAAAAAAAAACATTGTGTCGTTTGTCACCCTTTTAGCGACAGTATTTCCTGCCTCAATGACGGAAAATGTTCATATTACTGTAATGTTACTACAGTACCACACGCAAACTCTATCAGTAGCTGAAAATGCTTATTAGCATATTGATAACGATGTCTCATGTGATCACAATGTTAGGAAGAATGTTGACTTTGAACACACCCTTAAAGCCCTTCTCTTAATTGTTGCTCCGTGTTTTCCAAAGACGATGTACTGTAGGTCAGCCCTGTAAACACTCCGTGTCGAATAACAACCGATTTTCAAACCCGTCAAAGACCTAGCCACCATTAGTCATAATGTGCAAAGAGCCCATTTTCTTTTGCCCTCAACTCTTCTCCAGAAAATGTCCATTTTGAACCACCCCGTGTCCTAACTGCTACAGTTGATATTGCTCACGTAAAGCTCCGAAGCAGAAAAAAAACACAATTGTTCATCTAAAAAGCAAGCAAGAAACATTCCAATGTAATCTGTAAGGTGCAATTTGGTAGCGTTCCAAAGAGTACAACCTCAGGGGGGAGTTGAACTTTGGACGTTCACGGGTTTGCTATAGCCTTTAGTGGTACGGTATTATCCCTAGCTCAAGATTCTATCGGTCCATTAAATAATTTATAAACTGACCAATCCTTCAATTGACCAAAAACCTATCACGGATCATACAAATACCGGCTAGCAAATATTTTTGCATTGTCGAATTCTTTCTTATAGCTAATAGCGCTGACTCCTTTTTTTAAAAAAAATGGACATTTTTGTTTGAGCCGTTCCATCACTCCCCTCCCCGCTCTTTACGTCCTCTTTTATTTCTTCCTCATCGTGCGTGTCCAGATTTCCCTGCAGTTCTTCTCCTTGTGTCTGTCTTGTTTGTAGATGTAGGGGATGAGGAGGAGGCAGGCCCTCTCCGGCGCTTCCAAAATTCTCGGGAGAGGTGCAAGTTCCTCGCCCCCTCCATCTCAGTTTCTGTGCCTGAGGACGACCCCTACCACTCCGACGAGGAGTACTATGAGCACCCCTTGTTCAGCCCAGAGTGGACGCACTCGGGTGCCCGCCCCATGGGGCAGGCTGTGGCCTTTAGGCAGATCGAAGGTGAACCACACGCGGTTCCTCTTTGCCGTCGCTCGACCTCTCCACCCCTTACTTTCCTTTTTCTCTTTTGAGCAGCTCCCTCATCCGTATTGTGCCTTCGTCCCGGCATCTCTCCACCCTTCCGTCTCTCCATTTGTCCGTTTGTCCTTCATCTTTGTGTGTTTGCGTGTCCTTGTGATGTCCGTTTGCGCTGGAAAAAAAAAAAAAAAACGAGAGAGATTTCAGATTCGTCAGCTGTCATATTCTTATCATTTAATTCACTCATCATTGCTCCTTGTGTTTGCAATCACGCTTAGGTCAACACATTGTAGGGGGCGTCCCACAAAGGAGGACGGTGTTGTTGAGATTCCATCAATGGACGTAGGATATCGTGATTAAGGTTTTACTGGCTATGACCGCTATACATATGAATTAATGAACTGTTGAGTTACCCAAAGCCCCACTTTTGACCTGACTTATTATTACAAACAATCATTCGATTTACACAAGCACAAAGCTGTGAGGATAGAAAATATGTATCTGTTTTTTCCTCTTTAGTAATGTCTGGCTTGGAGGATGTGTTTTCTATTGATCCGGAGTATAGTTTGCTTATCCACATTGAATCTATTTTATTTTATTTAATTTTTTTTTTTGCAGTAGAGTAAATTGGACCAGGCATGGTTGGTGAGAAGGAAAAGAAAAACCCGACCTCTCCAAGATTGTTCTTTACAGGGTCAAAATTTGAAAAGCATACTCACATGCCATACACCGTGCCTATATGTGATATATCTGTGAACACTTTGGATCATCTCAAAGTGTCCCTTCATTGGTTAATGTTCTCACACTGCCCAAGTCTGTGTCGCCTATAGTCTTAATGTGTCCCCCTCCCCCTCTCACCCTGTTTTTGAGAAGAAGAGACCATGGAAGCTCTTACAGCTGAATACGAGGAGGAGGTTGAAGAGGAGGATGATGTGGATGAGGAAGAGGATGAGGAGGAGAGTGCAGAGGCAGCTCTTGATGAGCAGCAATGGAGCGGGGAAGAGCCCGACCCGGACATCCCCGAAGCTGAAGTTTTAGAGCAGGCAGAGGCCGTAGACAAGGCCCCGGATCTAGACCAGGGGCCGGTTGAGGCAGCTAGTGCTCCCGCAGGAAGCTCTTTGGACAGAGAGGAGGAGCAGGAGGAGGAGGAGGAGGAGGAAGCAGAGGGTGAGGAGAGCCCTGAGACAGGTGTGTCCTCTCCCTCTGCGCACCCTGCCTGCATGTTAACAGCTTGTCCACTGTATACGAATGCCGGATGTGTTTAAGGAGCAGGAGAATTCAAGCGTTATTCAGGTGGAATGGCAAATCATTTGCCCCCCCGCCCTCCCCCGCACTGCTGTGTCCTGCAAGGCAACACAGGCTCGTTAGTGGAAAAAGTCACTTGACCTTATCTTTTAACGTAGTTACATTGTTATCCTTGTTATGCCTGTGTTTTCTTATTGTCGCTCTTGTTTGGGGCTGGCTCTTTTGTAGTGGTATGATTACGTGTTGCACCCGCAATCATGCTTTTGATCACCAGCTACAAGCTTCCAGGATTGTCAATCTGTTTACACCGATGGCTTGGTGCTGGTATACCAGCGCGTTGCGCCTATGTAATATTTGAACCATTATTTCAGCGGGAAGGGAATGGCAGGGGGTTTGATGTCGGCTCTCATTTTTTTGAACGAATTATTGTACACGTCCTATTGACTTAACCAACCTTTTATCAAACGACCAAGTCATCTGGTTTAGTTGTCGCCAATGTTAGTTTGTCGCTTATTACCGGTATGTTGATCTGATTTTCACAACCAGGACTCCTCAGTACTTATGCAAATTTTTATTTGAACCATTTAATGGCATATGGCACTCGTCATTAACACGCATGCTCATTTGATCAAAACGATGTCACTAATCTTAGATTTGTACCTCTCAATTTTGACAAAGAATGACTGACCTTTGATGTTGTAATCGACAGATGATGTAATATGCATGGATATCCATTCCATGAATTATTGTTTGTTTTTCATCAGTCCGCCTGACAGTTGCCTCATGCCGGTATTATCACATACCATGCCATATTTCCATGCATCTCTGAATTGGTGGACCTCATTCGTTCGCCGTTCATCTTCGGTGATGGCTGTGTCATTGCGCTGTAAGTTTCAGAGGAGAGCTTTGCCTGTTTTGCTCCCATTAACCGGCCAAATGAATATCAGCGCATGCCAAAGCCAAAGCTTTCACATTGTGTTCATAACGACCAACTTACAGATGTCCTTTCAGCTGTGAAGACGGACTTGGAAAAACCCGTAAGTGAGAAAAGCGGTTCCATGAGCCCGGACAGCATCGGGTCAGAGAAACGTCCAGAAGAGTTTTTTGAGCAACAGACCCAGGAGTTCTTTGCCGGTGAACGAATCGTACCAGAGAGTCCCACCATCGATATGCCATCTTTTGTACCTCCAGATGTTCAAACTCAAGCCAAAGAATCTGCAAAGTCAATCTCCCTTCAGCCCATATACGGCGAGCCCCTCACCGTGTCTGAGAAGCAGCCGTCTGTGGAGGTGGTAGAGTTCAGCAGCCTCGGTGCCCCCTCTGATTTCTCAGCGATGGGAGTCAAAGATGAAGAAGGAAATTTGACAAGTGATGCAATGTCGGCATATTTTGAAACATCAGCCCCTGAGGCTCATGCGCCCCCCCAGGGTAAGACCGAGGGTTATTATGAACTGAGCCGAGTCAGTGACGAGACCAACACCGTTGATTCCAAGTCTCCGAAGATTGATTTGCCACCTCAGGAGAGTCCTCAAACCCAAAACACAGACACTCAAGATTTCTCAGTTCCAGACAGGGGTAATGAATGCAAGCTTTCCCCAGGTAAACTGGCCCTGGAGCAAAGGAGCTATTCCTTAAACATAACCATTGGGGCAATGGATCAAAACGACCAAGGCAGAATGAGGAACTTTTCCCCACTGGCCACTGATATCATGACGCACACCAGTGGAAGTCTCGATGAGTTGGCGGATTACCTCCCAACCACTACTCCCTCCGGAGAAAAGCCACCTCCCTTTCCACCACTAATCCTAGAGACTGCAGCTTCAATCACTTCTGATTCCTCATCTCCACCAAGAATGGCTGACACCATTTCGAACCCCAGCCCTGAACCCGACTCACCCGAGTCCCCAGATTCCCCCCAGCCATGCGAGAGCAGCCCTCAAAACAACGCCGTCATGGCTCAAGACTTGCCTGAGATGCTAGATCTTGCTGGGTCCCGTTCTCGACTGTCATCTGAAACTACTGAACCAGAAATTGTACGGCGAAAGTCATTTCAAGCCTTCTCTGATGACCTGCTTTCTAGCCTCGTCTCAGGCGAGCAAAGTCCTGGAATAAAAAAGAGTGACAGTCAGCTGGAAGAGATGGGCTATTGTGTGTTCAGTGAATACTCTGGACCTATGCCGTCCCCTGCAGATGTGGTTAGCCCAACAAACACTTCTGCACAGGTCTTCACCCCCGCTGTTCTTGAGGAGAAAGTCGCTGCACAGGCCAGGAAGCTAGCAGTTAGAGACACATCTGTCGAAGACCAGAACCAGACTGTTGAGCTGATTGTCAGTGAAGAAAAGGAGATGAGCGAAAGTAAAGGGAAAGATTCCTCTGAAGAGGGTCAAGTGAATATAAATGACCAGCTGAAGACATCAGTCATTGAGCAGGTGAAATCATCTGCCCTGCCAGGGGAGTCGTTTGTGACACCCACTGTCACGGTGACTCTCGAAGAAGGTGGGAGGTCAGGAAGTGAGACAGAACGACAAGCCAGTGGCGAAGGCTCCGCTTCCGAAACGGAGATTGCTGACTATGAGAGGCAGATCCGCAAACTGGAGATGGAGGGCAGGCCTCTGAGTTTGGAGGAAGAACGAGAGTTGCAGGAGCTTCGGGAGAAGGTCAAGCTGGTGCACCAGGAGGCTTACGAGGAGGTGGATGCTGAAGATGTGTACCAGTTGACCGGGGTGGCCAAGGACCGCATTGCCAGGCCTGTCAAGACTTCCCCCACTTCATCAGTGGAAAGCAATATTGATGATGACAAACTTCTTTCTCCAGTGCTCTCACCATCCAAGCTCAAACAAAAAGAGCTTTATGGCTCCCCTAAAAGAGCAGTGTCACCAGTGTTAACAGTAACCAAAGAGTCCAAGGAGGAAGCTGATAAAAATGCGAGAGAACAGAACGAAAAAGAAGCACCTCAAGAGAAAATTCAGATTGAGAAAGAGGAGACGGTGAATCACACTTCAGAAGAGCCGGAAAAGAAACTGAATGAAATCAAAGAAATAGAAGAAAAGGAAAGACAGGAAGATGCGGCAGAGAGGACTCAAAGGGAGGACGATGAGAAAGAGCAAATGAGACAAAAAGAAGAGGGAGAGACACACGAAACAGAGATGAAAGAAAAGGAAGAGAAAGAGAAGATTGAGAAAGAAAGGAAAGACAAGGAGGAGAGAGAAAAGGAAGAGGCTGAGAGATTGGAGAAGGAAAGGAAAGAAAAAGCTGAGAAGGAAATGAGAGAAAAGGAAGAGGCCGATAGGATGGAGAAAGAAAGAAAAGACAAAGCGGAGAGAGAAGTCAGGGAAAGGGAAGAAGCGGAGAAAGGAAGGAGAGAAAAGGAGGAGGCCGAAAGAATGGAGAAAGAAAGAAAAGACAAGGAGGAGAGAGAAATCCGAGAAAGGGAGCAAGCAGAGAAAATGGAGAAAGAAAGGAAAGAAAGACAGGAGAAGGCATTGAGAGAAAAAGAGGAGGCCGAGAGAATGGAGCAAGAAAGAAAAGATAAAGAGGAAAGGGAACTCAGGGAAAGGGAGGAGGCTGAGAAAATGGGGAAGGAAAGGAAAGAAAAACAGGAGAGGGAAATGAGAGCAAGGGAAGAGGCGCAGAGAGTTGAGGAAGAAAGAAAAGAAAAAGAGAGGAAGATGAGAGAAAAGGAAGAGGCGGAGAGGACTGAAAAAGAGAGGACAGAGAAAGAAGAGAGGGAGAAAGAGGAACGAGAGATGAAAGAAAAGGAAGAGGCAAAGGCGATCCAACAAAGGGAAGAGCGCGAAAAGTTAGCGCAAGGAAAAGCGGAAGAGGAAAGAGATGAGAAAGAGTTGAGCGAGAAGGAAAGTCTGATTGAACAGAAGACGCAACATGTTGGAGAGACAAAGACAACGGCCGAAATGGACAAAACCAAACCGGCCGAAAAAGAGCAACAGGAGCAAGCGTCAACTGCCGGAGCAGCTGCGGTCAAAGAGATCACGGAGACTCGTACCGCCATTGAATCGGTCGTCACCGTCGAAGACGACTTCATCACTGTGGTCCAGACCATCGATGAAGCAGATGAACCAGGACACAGTGTTCGCTTCTCTGCCCCACCTGAAGCCTTGGGTTTACCCGGCGGGCCAGAGCAAGAGGAGGAGGAGCAGGAGGAGGAGCAAGAGGAGGAGGAGGAGGAGGAGATGGATGAGGATGAGGACGAGGATGACGAGGAGGAGTCTGTGGAGTTGGCCCAGGAGGCGGACATCGAGGCTGCCAGTTTCGAAGAGGTTTGTGACATTCCTGAGACCCCTTTGACTCCTGAGAGGGAAGTTCAGCCCTTGGAAACGGAGGCTCCAACAGACAGTTATGACAAAGATGAAACCACCGTGGACGACTCCATCTTGGACAGCTCTTGGGTGGACCCACAAGGTAAGGCCTTTTTTTTTTTTTCACGTCTTTGCTTTCTCGGGTACCAGCAAGCAGTAAGCTTCAGTTCAGTTGCTTCCACCAAACAATTGTCTTTCGATCAATGAACGGAGGGCAGTGTGTCGTTTCACTCTCCACTCCGACAGACTAGTCAATTTGTCGACTTATCTACTCCACTATGACGTTTAGTGAGTGAAGCCGACTAGTCGCTAATCTTCTGTTTTTTTCTTTATTATGGATATTTGCAAATTACATTTTAGTACTGAACAATGAAATACATCAATGACTTCATCATTGACTAGTCGACGTCAAATCGACTTTCACCACATCAGTCTTGAGCATCTGAACCGAACAGTACTGCATGGGTATAATGAGGTTGACTTCTGAAATTGTTTTTCATTCTCTGTGAGTAATTTTGAAGCAATGATGAGCCCTCTTTTATTTAATTAAATCTTTATATTTTGGGCAGATGACGACAAGAGCATGGCTACAGAGCAGATTCAGCCCTTGCCGAAGGTACCTAGCCCTGTCAAGAAGTCCGCTGTCCAGACCAAGCAAACACAGCAGAAGAAAACAGAGAAGCATGAAAAGCCAAACAAGCCCAAAACTAAGAGCGGGCGGGTTAAAGGCAGACTGTCGACTCCTGACCGGAAACCGATGCGCAGGGAACCAGTTTACATCCCACGAGAGAAGAAAAAAGGTTTCTCTCCTTTTCAGTCATATAACTCGATCCTTCACGGTGACACTTGACTGTTTTGCATCAGTGTTGATTTCCGATTCTCTCCGTTCTGAACGTGTGAGCACGTCATTTATTAGCTTGGATTTTCTGGCGCAAGATATTTTACGAGTGTATCGCAATTTAATAGTAAGACTTCTAAAATCATACAGTTGGATGCCCAACGGGAGGAACTGTTGACAGTTATAGCAAATGTTTCTTTTGCGCATGCTATTTGATGCTTCGGCATTCATTTTTTTGATGTCTCCATGTGGCCGACGACTACAGCCGTGATCAAGAAGACTGAGTTTACCAAAAAAATGGAGGCTCCGACTCTGTCCCCGTCCAAGAGGATTGGACCGAAACAAGCTGTCCGCCAGGCCCGCCCCGTCCAGCACCATTCCTGTCCTAGAAGGAGACCCACAGGTGATACATCACTTCTACTGTCAATTCTGCAGGGCCACGTCCACCATCATCTTCCATGTAGTCTTGGAAATCATTGCCTTTTAGGCTCATTCAGATCATTAACCCTTTCAGGCACAAATAATGATAACCTGTAACCTGATAAAATGATCAACTGTCCACTGTAGTAACCGCTGTTCCTGAAAGGGTTAAAATAAACAAAAGTGTCAATTGAAATTTTTTGGGTTTTTTTTGTGTGATTACTGAGCAACCTGGGATGTTTCCCTCAATTCATTTGTCGTTTTGAACCTATTTCATTAGGTCACTCACACTTGGTAGTCAACAAGATATCAAATTCAACTCCGTCAAACTCATTGAATTGAAAAACTGACACGTCTCCTTTCCCTCATTTTCTCTGCATTGTTTTTTTTTTTTTAAACTTCATGTATGTTTTTTTTCCTTTTTGCCATAATAAAAACAATCTTGTGTTACCTCACTATTTGGCTTCTTTTCTGTATTCATCTTTGTTCTTGCTTTTCACTGTACTTAAAGAGCCCATCCCCCACACCCCTTGCGCCCCCTTTTGAATCACAGGATAATCACAGGATACACAATGTACGCTGTATGCTTCTTTCCAATACCTATGTTAGTGTTTTATATATATATATATATATATATATAGGTCATAATCCGAGGCGTAAAAATCTTGAATTTTTCTGGTCGAAATCCGATTTGGTTAATAACAGACATTCGAAAACCGAGGTTTGACTGTATAGTAATTCAACAATACTTCCTGTGACATCTATTGTGGTACTCTTTGTGTGCCGCCAGGAGATGCACAATACAGACATCCCCAATGTAGATAAGACGATGAAACACGGAAGACCATCACAAATAAGTCGCAATCATGTGTGTGTTTTTTTTTGTTTTTTTTTACAGAGGATAAAAAATATATTAAGAGTATTTTTGTATTGTCTGTCTACATGTGTTCATGCGCCGTTTGTGTTCAGATACTTGTTGCTTGAAGGGTTATAATGCAATCAATGCTAGTTTTGTTTGACCATCAATGGTGTTTTGCGGTGTGTGTGTTAGCATCAAGCCCATTGTCAGTCATGTGGTGTTAAATATCAGGTAACTTCTTTTGGAATGTGAAATCCTACTCAAGCGCAGGGAGAACATGGCGCAACACAGCCTGAGCCTGAGCAGAGTTTCAAACCCGCAACCTCTCGAATGTGAGGCACTCATAATTACTCACCACTGTGCTGCCCTCCGAGATTTTATTGTAATTCTGATGGTTTAAATGGTTCACCAGAACAAAAAAATTTGCAATAAGTGTCTGATTTTTAACAAGCCGTCAGGTACAAATGGAAATACAGTACCGTAAGCAATCACAGGCGTTCAAATATACAAACTCTGATCATCAAACATTTGACATGGAATCGCTATTTATTGTATGTGAAAAAGACTCCTTCGTGCGATGGAGGTCTTTGTGAGAGACGAAGCATGTTGCAGATTTATAATTCATTATTCTTTTTAATTTTTCCCCCCCCCCCCCCAAAAAAAAAAAGCTCCATGAATAAAATCTTGAAACACTTGATGTACTTGATCATTCATGTGGAAGCATTATTTTTGTCACCCGTGCCATCCTGTGCCTTGTGTTTTGGTGTTGTGTCATTCACTCCCCGCCCCCCTGGGCCTCATTTGTGTGCCATTTCAGCGCCATGCTCAGCATTTTGCCCTCACAAAGACACACACCTTTATGTCCACAACGGTTACCTCATTAGATGGACCTCGTCCATCCTCGACATCAGTATTTGCAACCTTCATAGCCAAGGTAGGTGGATGGCAATGTGGCCTGTCGCTGCGAGCTGCAAGGATTCAGATTGAAAAGTCTCTGTCCATATTTTGAAAAAAACGCAATCGGCAACCAGTTACCCGAGGATGTCACGAGCGTTGGAAATATTTGTGTTACATTTGGTGTTTGTGTTTCACAGGATGGTAGATCGCAAAGCCCTGACAAGAGATCTTCTATGCCGCGGCAAGCTTCCTCTCTTAGTCGCCATCCGTACCAGGAGCACGAGGACAGTTCGACCTCCATCACGAGCTCTGGATCAACAGCTCCCCGCAGACCCACAGGTAGGCTGCCAGGCTTGGCACTGGAACTTGAAACCGCTTAGCCAATGTGGCTAAACACAATAAAAATCTCATAGACACACTTGAGTGTCATTAGCCACAACATCACGTTTATGATGCCGAGCTTGTTCCGGATTGGAGCAATTGCAAGTGTTATAACAGACCCGTGATAGAGCTGTCTCCGTTGCCCCTTTCTGTTGTATGACAATATATTGTAATACAAGAGATTTGGAGTGAGCACCAAAAAAAAAAAAAAAAAACCCTCAAGTGAATTTGCAAATGACAATTTTACAAATATATGAGGGATGACTATGATACAAGGTTGATTATTAAAAATAAATAAATAAATAAATCCACTCCATTCTGTCATTACACGATTGCATGCTTGAACGCTTTTTCGTGGAATCTGAATTTGTCATTTGTCCCCTTTCAGCCTGCCATGCTGTGATTGTTCCGGATTGGAGCAATTGCAAGTGTTATAACTGACCCGTGATAGAGCTGTCTCCGTTGCCCCCCTTCTGTTGTATGACAATATATCGTAATACAAGAGATTTGGCGTGAGCACCAAAAAAAAACCCAAAAAAAAACAAAAACAAAACAAAAAAAAACCTCAAGTGAATTTGCAAATGACAATTTTACGAATATATGAGGGATGACTATGATACAAGGTCGATTATTACAAATAAAGAAATAAATAAATCCATTCCATTCTGTCATCACACGATTGCTTGCTTGAACGCTTTTTCTTGTAATCTGAATCTTTTGTCATTTGTCCCCTTTCAGCCTGCCGTGCTGTGATGAGAGCAGAGCAAAGGACAGGTCGAGCTCCCAGTATGACGGGTAGCGTGAATTCATTATTTTGTTCCATTTCCTAGAACCTACTTTTCATGTACGGCAGCGGTCTCCAACCCCCGGGCCGCAGATCGGCACCGGTCCGTGGGTCATTTGGTACTCCAGTATGACGGGTAGCGTGAATTCATTATTTTGTTTCATTTCCTAGAACCTACTTTTCATGTACGGCAGTGGTCCCCAACCCCCGGGCCGCGGATCGGCAATAACTTACATTACTTCCGTTTTATTTATTTCAGACTTTGAAAGATATTTTATTTTGAAAATTTACCGGATCCTCTGTTACATCCGTCGACAGTATGTCACTCTAGATGCAGGTGAAGGCGGAGCTTCTCGGTGACGTGATAGGTTACCGCTAAAATGAAACCCAGGAGCTAGCAAAATGAGTAAAAAAAAACAAACGTCTTTGGAAAGTTTCTTTGGGAAGGGGAAAAGGCTCAGCCAGGAGACAGAAGCCTACGATTTTCAAGAAAAAGAAGACTAAATGTAATAGATAGTATCAGGCATCCTACTCAAAATATGGATTTGTCTCAACGGGAGACTCCCTCTCTGCATGATATGCGGCGATGGTGAATCGTATTTTTCATGCACTTTGTATCTTATTTTGGTAGGCACGTCTAAACGTTACCATAGCGACCAGAGAGTGTTGAGGCCAGATAGGATGTTCCTTGTGTCATCATTCGTGTCATATCATATTATTTTGTCGTATTTATCCGTCACACCTTAAAGGCCGGTCCCTGAAAATATTGTCTGACATTAAACCGGTCGATGGGGCAAAAAAGGTTGGAGACCGCTGATGTACGGTGTCATTGTAAAGAGAGGACACCTTGTTCAGCCCATGAAAAGGTTTCAGGTTTTATCCTCGGATTTCCGGCCGCGGAGCCACTCCGCTCCCGTTCAGCCCGCGGTGGCCACTCCACGCCACGTACCCCTGGCTCTAGCGCCATGACCCCTGGCACCCCTCCTAGCTGCTCATCCTCCTCAAGGACCCCCGGAACCCCTCGCTCGCTCAGCTTGATGTCCCACGCTCAGCTTGAGGTCCCAGGAGAGGAGGGTGGCTGTGGCCCGTACCCCGCCCAAATCCCCCGCCACCACTCCTAAGCAGCTGCGAGTCATTAACCAACCTCTTCCTGACTTCAAGAGGGTCCGGTCCAAGGTCGGCTCCATAGATAATATCAAGTACCAGCCCAAAGGTGGACAGGTAAGACCCAACTCACATGTTTGGTGCACTCTCCCGCCCACCCTCTACCTACCTACTACTTGTTTCTTTCGGACTGTAGAAGGTATTTTTGTCATAATGTAAGTTTGAGACTTTTTGATTCACTCATATTTGATAGGTTTTCCTTTCATCTTCCTCTTCTCCAACCTTAGTGTTTGTTTGTATTTTACCCATCCACCATGAAACGAAATTAATGATCCGACAACATGAAGCGCGTATCAAATATCTTTGATCACCCAGCCGATGTTTGATCCACGCCACGCCACTGTTACTTACTTGCACTTGTAATTAGAAAATGTTGTAGTGGTTAAATATTATGTAGGATTAATTTCTGACTCTACTGGCTCGAATTTGGGGGTAAAAAAAAAAAAAAAAAAAAAAAGAAGGAATTACATTTAAAAATCCTCATTACAGTTCAAAATGATAAGCTGTCGAGTCGGGCGTTAAAGCACTTATACCAGAGTTCCAAGCGTAGGCTTCTGCATAATTTAAAAGTGTTGCCAGGGTCATCATCCCCCCCGCCCTTGACCCGCAGTAGTAACTCCTAGTAGTGGCCCCACCCTCCCCCGAAAGGCCTCACCGGGCCACTGACCCGCCACTTGTCATTGTCACCATAGAAGCACAAGGAGCAAATAATGGCAACTGAGGCCAAACACAAGGCCCCGTCTTGGATCTGGAACTCAGTGCTCCGCGTCATCTCCTTGACGCTGTGTCTGTCGACGGCTCACAGTATGACCTGGACCCAAGGCCTGCTGGTACACCGCAGCACCATACATTATAAATTGATAGCATGCGAGTGCTAGCGGAACGATTACAGTTGTTTCCTATCAACGAATATGACAACGAAGTGACAACATTTGCATTTTAATAAGGCCGCTTTAATGAGAGCCAAAACAAGAGTCGAATACAAAGTCCTCTGTGTTAACGTGATTGGACGCTGCAGTGGTGTGGAACTGCACTGCATCACACTGGAAGATGTTTCGGTTATATTATTAAAACAAAAAATGTTATGTGATGGGGACTACAAAAAAAAAAAAAGTTCCAAGCCACTGCAAGTTCCAACCACAATAATAAAGTTTTTTGAATTAAGTCACTTTGTATTATTTTCTTTGCTCATACTGTCTGGAATCTTCATTTCAACCCTTGTTTTGGATCTCATTAGATTGTGTCAGTAACAACTAATGACTTTTTCAATGACTAGATGTCGTGATTATATTTGCTAGAACCTGATCCTATCCATAAAATCAGGTCACTGCCTAAACATAAAATGTGCAAGGATAGACCAAAGTAATTAAAGGAAGCTCTTGGAGACAACAACAAGGCAGCTTTTAATTAGCGGTGAAATGTTCTTGGCAGTCGCAAAATGTTGAGTTAAAAATATGCACAACCAATCAAAAGGCTGCTTCTGTGTCCCGAGGTGCGAGCACGAAACGAGGAGCCAGTATGTTGCAGATCTTATATAAGGAGCAAAAAGCAAAAGCAACAAACGAACCCAATTGTGGCGCCAAGTCAACATCTTCTGTATATGTTTCGTCTGGTCCAATTGGAAACAAATCTTGACATCACTTATAACACCATCAACTAAGACTTGTATGACGAATAAACATTTTTTTTAATGGCCTGTTATATGTCAGCCCGCAGCCACTGTCTTGTCAACAAAGCCACATATTTCTCTTCGGAGTTGGTCCACAAATCAGTGATGAATCAGTTTTTGACATATTCTTCACGCACCAAAAAGTTATACAAAAGGGGTGAGGTTCTAACAAAAGCACAACTGTCGAGTGATCCATGGTAGCTGTTTTGAAATAGTACGGTGGGACCTCGATGGTTGAACGCCTACTGTTGCGCGTTTTTTTTTTTTTGTTGTTCAGGAAACTCGGAGCTGCGAGGAGCAGCCCATACCGTATTTTTACCTTTCGTATCTCGAAATTTCTTTCATAACAAGAGGCAATATATTCCTGTTGAGGTGTTTCGTAACTTGAAAATTTCGTATGAACGTAGGTCGAGGTACCACTGTATTTTATATTGTCATCGGTGCCCTCTAGAGTAGAATTTTCATTGCCATGTCATCCTTTTTGTTTCTCTTTAGAATCATATTATAAACAAGAAGCTGGACTTCAGGTATATGCAATCAAAATGCAGCTCCAAGGATAATCTCAAGCAACCTCCCAGTGGAGGCAATGTATGTAGCCCTCAATGTTGACCCCCTTCACCCCCTTCTTGTCTTCCTTCCCCGGAGCCAATGAGTCTCCCTGTTGATCCCCGCTGTATCTTTTCCACTGTGCAAAATTCCCGATTAGCCTTAAAGGTGACGTGTGCGACCCTAACGTTTTATCACGCTTATGCCGAATAAACTTTGGCCACTTTTAACCCTTTCATGCTGCACCCTGTAATCCTGATAACATGATAAGCCGTCCACTGTGGTAGCCGCCGGTCCCTGAAAATATTGTCTGACATTAAACCGGTCGATGGGGCAAAAAAGGTTGGAGACCGCTGATGTACGGTGTCATTGTAAAGAGAGGACACCTTGTTCAGCCCATGAAAAGGTTTCAGGTTTTATCCTCGGATTTCTCGCCAACAGTCTCCGAGCCACTCCGCTCCCGTTCAGCCCGCAGTGGCCACTCCACGCCACGTACCCCTGGCTCTAGCGCCATGACCCCTGGCACCCCTCCTAGCTGCTCATCCTCCTCAAGGACCCCCGGAACCCCTCGCTCGCTCAGCTTGATGTCCCAGGAGAGGAGGGTGGCTGTGGCCCGTACCCCGCCCAAATCCCCCGCCACCACACCTAAGCAGCTGCGAGTCATTAACCAACCTCTTCCTGACTTCAAGAGGGTCCGGTCCAAGGTCGGCTCCATAGATAATATCAAGTACCAGCCCAAAGGTGGACAGGTAAGACCCAACTCACATGTTTGGTGCACTCTCCCGCCCACCCTCTACCTACCTACTACTTGTTTCTTTCGGACTGTAGAAGGTATTTTTGTCATAATGTAAGTTTGAGACTTTTTGATTCACTCATATTTGATAGGTTTTCCTTTCATCTTCCTCTTCTCCAACCTTAGTGTTTGTTTGTATTTTACCCATCCACCATGAAACGAAATTAATGATCCGACAACATGAAGCGCGTATCAAATATCTTTGATCACCCAGCCGATAACCTTAGTGTTTGTTTGTATTTTACCCATCCACCATGAAACGAAATTAATGATCCGACAACATGAAGCGCGTATCAAATATCTTTGATCACCCAGCCGATGTTTGATCCACGCCACCGCTGCCCTTAAAAAAAAAACAAAAAAAAAACATCGGAAATTAACAAAAGCTTGTATGTACAGTCTTCAATGATATTTTTCCATGCGAAAAATTTCGGGGTTTTTTTTCTTACTGTTTTATCAAAAATATATAAGATAACAAACCACTGTTACTTACTTGGACTTGTAATTAGAAAATGTTGTAGTGGTTAAATATGTAGGATTAATTTCTTACTCTACTGGCTCGAATTTGGGTGTAAAAAAAAAAAAAAAAAAAAAAAAAAAGAAAAAAAT